TATAAAAATGAATACAATAAGTAGGCTAGTTTGTAATACCGGTGAGTTTTATAAAAAATAACATGTAATTTAATACTTATTAAAGTAAATATCTAATTCATAGATCAAGGTCGAACAGATCAATGATAACATCTGCTACGATGATACTGAGGGTTACTAGTTATTACAGTACAGAAAGCATCATATCACGCCAGAATATAGATACCTCAAAATGACAATTGATTATTATCATAAAGCCTTAGATCTGAGGTTTTTCATAGATTAGCTCCAGTCATCTAATATCCGATTCATATTTTGTAATTATATTCATTAGTTATCAATTAACGTAAAGACTTATCATAATAGAATTAAATAATAACATTTTCCTTTGAAGAATATTTATGATGTTTATCGAATTCCACATGTTATGACTGTCCAGTTAATTGATATACATGGTTAGGGTTATCATATGAATTTCACAATACAGTTCCAATGGTCAACTATATTAGAATATATTACCAAGAAATGAAGGCTACCATTTACCTATAAAATTCTTAAGCAAATTTTATATTCCATGAAAAATTAATTTAATATTTAATCTAAAATCAATTAATAAATTAATTGGAATAAGTTGAACTAATTGGAATAGTTTTTTCTACACAAAGAATTTATCAATCTACCGTCATTTTTGAGGCTTTGGCTACACGAAAATTGAAACCTCCTTTATGTGTTCAAAAACAATTTGTTCTTACTCTTAACCTACCCTGATAATATTGATTTATTATCCAAAGTGATTATCACATTGTTTTTGTGTACTTTATATATTTTTCTTTCATTGTTACGGCTTACCTTTAACCTGTCTAGTTGACCTAATAATTTCCATATAAAAATGTCTTAACAAGCATATGTGTGATCAGATTGATCAAAATATATCGCAGAAATATATCACATAATTCTGATTAACTTCGTCTTCTTATTGTACTATCAAAAGTTATCAAAGGGACTAATTGTTTTTATTATTTTTATTAATTCATTCTGATAGTTAAAGAATTTTATTAAAATATCAAATGAACGATCAAAATATTTATATTGATTTAGAAGTGAATATCGCTTCTATCTATCCACTTATTAAAAATATAAGTAGTAATGTCAACTTTGAAAATATATAAACCATATAGAATAAGATGGTGGTCGGAGGTGGTCAACAGGAAATCCTGGACCTGGGTTCCGTGCTACTTGGCGCTCGTCAGCAAGGTGTACCTGCAATCTTGAGGGGACTGGTGCTCCCTGATGGATTCGATCCCGTGTCACTCAGCTTCACAGTCAGAGACGTTACCACTGAGCTATTCAGGCCGCGACCGACCTCCTGTAGGACTGAGATGTAATCAGAATTGATTGACCTCTGGGTGGTGATCAATGTCATGCGTGTCAAGTCCTTATAGAATATAGAACATATAGAATAAATACACCTTTTATAATTATGAATAATATTTTGGATATGGTTTATTTATTTATTTTTTTAAAATAAGAATACTTAATTACAATAATTTTAGTTGTTAAGTCAATCAACCTTGAAAAATAATGGTGATCAGAACAGGATATAGATGGTATTATAAATGATATAATAATCAATTGATCATAATTATAATCTGTAACGGAATTTTTCATTAACTTTTATTATAATAAAATGTAGGCAGTTAGTTGTGTGTTTTTTGTCAGATTTGTTTATATATACTCATAGGTTTTGAAAAAAAGAATTAATATGACTAATTAACAGTGTTAATAAACTAATAATTCCTTTCTAATGAATAATTATTAGTTAGTTAAAGCTTTTGGCCTAGACAATTTAAGTTAATGGTTTTAATATTACTTTATTGACTTCAGTTCAACCTATTAGATAGTACTTCTAACACTTAGATTGAAAAAAACGTGTGTAAAGGCCTGTACACGAGCTCATGATAATGTTCATTTATAAATCATTTTAGAATAAATAGACGCTACTTCCTACTATCTTGATACTTTTCAGCAGTGAATTGAACTTTACTGACTAACGTCTGTAACTTGAGAATAGGATTAGTCTTTTCAATCAGTCACCCATATATGAATTTGTACATCACTGCTGATTTTTGTAAAATTGCGTCTTACTGATAAAATCACTAGACATTGAATAAACGGATTTTATGTTCAAAATTTGTTTCATTGACTTCGGTCTAGGGAGCGGATGAGTATCAAAGTAGATTTTGAATGCATACATGAAACCATTTTTGGTCGGACAGAAAGTATCTTAAACTTATTAGGTATGAAGAAATATTTCTAAACATTCATAATATCCAGGCAACTACTTCATAAGTGCTATCCTTATTAACAGAGTCTGGTTGTACATCAAATTTATATCTGCTTAATTATTTTCCTAAAAGATAGAACAAAACAATCAAATATTCACTATATTCCTATTTTCACAAACGTATTCGCTTCATAGTAATTTTTCCTAATGTTGTTCGCCTAAATAAAATATATGTCTTTTAAATAGATGATTCATACTGAAATGGTTAATTTGAGAGTAATTTCCTCTATTAAGTCACATCACTTAAAGAAATGTTATAAGTCACAGTCAAACGGAAATCTGTTTTACCTCAGTCTGAAATATCATAAGATAGAAAACACACCATCAAAATTGTGAATTACATAGTTACCTATGGACGACATTAAATACACGTTTCATATATGTTAGGTGGTTGGAGGTTGCTAACAAGAAACTCCTGATCACTATTCAGTAATTAGTGTTAAAGTTATATGAAAAGTCGAATTGACTAGGGTGTAAAATACTTTAGTAATTGGATTTTTGTTAAGTATTTAAACAGTATGTTGCACTCTGGAAAACTTCAGTCATCTATGGTCGATCTCTTGAGATATCTTAAGTCCACAGTATATAGTCGTTGTAATCTAATACAAAAAATATTGATCCAACAATCCCTAGGTATATAGTAATTCCTGAAAATATTTCTTCTCATTATCCTAACTCGTAATCACGTTCCATTCCTTTCAGGTTCATTCATTTCTTTATTCTTCACAAGACGTTTGCTCAGAAACAACTGCTCAGTTATCATAATAAATAATATTGGTAGATAAAAATACATTAACTATGTCAGATATTAATAATAAATATAGTTTTGATTATATCCTAATGAGTATAAAAATAGTATTTCTGACCGCATTCGGTTATTTATTTTCTCTGAAGAAGTGAATTACATCAAGTCATGAAACGCCAGAAATACAATTTTTATACTCATTAGGATATAACAAAAAGATATTTATTATTTATTACCGCATGCTCAATTTATTTTAAACTACCAAATCTAACATTGGCATTGATACCTAAGTTAGATATTAACATGAAATATAGACTGGTAATAAGCAATTACAACTATGATGTAATCTGAAAGATTAGAAATACTAGGAACCGGAAAATAATTATCCCTAACAAGTGAATCAACAGTCTGATGTGACTGAGTAACAAATTATGATAGCTTTGTTAATCATTCACTTACGGAAAAAAATCTATATTTCCTAGGATATAAGGTGATCGCCTAAACTCTGTTCTGTTTGTATAGACTGAACTCACTAATTTGTAAAATGTGAGTTTTATAATGTGGTAGTTGAAAAAAAAATTGACACCTTTTTATTTTATTATTTCTAAATTACTAGCTTGTTAAATATAATTTGGCTTTACTCAATATCGTCGTAAAGTGACTAGAGTCGTCAAACGTAACTACTTTTAATAAGTACTTTTACAAACCTCATTTTGTTTGTTTTGAAACTATTATATACACTTTGTTTTCCAATGAAATACGTTTTAAATGTGATCTCAAATCTTCATATTATAATTTTAAGGTTTATGGTGGGTCGTTGGTCTCAAAATAACACAAACGTGAACAATTTTTTGAACTGTCTCATTTCATAAACTTTTCATGTTTATAAATAATTAGTTTACCCTTACATTTTGTTTTTTCTATCACTGAACTAGTCAATTTAATGTTTTGTCTATTTCAAATAGTCATTGAATGATAATGAAGCCCTAGAGGTACAAAAATCTGCCTATTCAAATTTCTACACACTGTCCTGACAACTAGAAAGTAAAAATACTTTAATGAATATAGATCTAACAAAATCGTTAGTTGTTCAACTATAGTAAAAATTATGTAGACTTTGATAAAATAGTTCGACATAACTATAGTGTTAGATCATTAATTGTACATATCATCTAACTGAATTGCCTATTCGGATCATTTCCATATCCACATCTGTTTTCGATTATTTTTAACAAAAAAATATACATACGCTATGACAAATATTTACATTTTCGAAGTAACAGTTATTCATTTGTGAGAAGTTGTATTCATCTGCCGTAATTACCTTCAATTCGATAGCTAAATAACAATCGTTGTTTTGATATATAACTCTCAATTGAGGAGAACCTAATTACAACCTACGTTAAATTGTAATAATAAGTGATGTTTGGACTGAATTTATATTAAATGTTAATGATCTTGTCTATATATTATAATCATGTTATTAAGACAGTGATAAATGGTATTCAGTATAAATTGGTTTATTTTAAAAATCATGGTTACTTATGTTAACAAAATGTACCTTGAAACGATAATAATATCCATGACACTAAAGAATAACAAAGTTGTACAAATGTAAGCTATCCTCAAAAGAGAATCACACACCATTGCATCATAACTATCAAGTTTAACCATTCATGAACATCAACTATAAAATAACTAAGTTTATTCATGTTAATATATAGATTAACTGATATTAGATGGTAACACAAATAAATGATGATCATTAGTTTTCATTTATTGTTTGAATAATATTCACTTATAACATAAACCTGATTACATAATATGAAATAGGATTTCATCAACTCGCTAAAGTTATCAGGGATATCAATTAGATCAGTACATTGTTAATTATTTACTCAATAATGATAATGAGAAAGACTAGATACTTACGTGGTAAATCTATCGTTTCATTGAATTTTGAAGCATAATCTTCTGTTCTTATACTGTCATTATCTAAATTTTCATTCATAACTCTGATTATCGATGAATGTCACCAGAATATTCGTGAAAGCCTTTTTAAAAAAAATTCCAAATATGAGAATTAAAAATTGATTGTAATTTTTTGTTTTATTTAACCAAATCTGAAGTAACTGACCACTTTATCTCTATCTACAAAACATCAAATCTATTCAATATGACTAGAGTTACTGCTTCAACTTTGTATGTATGGACAAATATGTTTAGTATGTTATGACATTAACTATTTGACAATTATTATTCGAATCAGTCTTATCATTATAAGCGTTCAAATTATTTGGGACTATTTATGCGGGTAATTACCTTAAGTAATAGAACATCTAACTGATGTATCTATGATTGATTAGTTGTAAGGTGGGCGTAATTACTTTTTTTCTACCGTTAAAATAATAAATTTATAACATATACTACTTATTTTTTTTCCAAAGTAATGATCAACAAAAATGTACAATTGTGTGAGATGGTTAAATTGAGAATACTCACAATCACTTGTTTATTCATTGAGTACTAAATAGCAGAATGGCTAGGAAGTGATTTTGCTGATTTATTTATTAAATCAAAAACTCGATTATTTTACACATGTTGTTTCAAAAATCCTATAAAATTCCTTTACGAATTATTCTATATGAAGATTCATTTTACACATAAAAAAATTTGGTTTTGAAAGTTAAGCAAACAAGTTATTTAGTTATTGATATTGTTTCGTTTTTGGTTTATTTTTGTGTATTTTAGGGTTTTATTTGATATTAGTTTTCCATCGTGTTGGCGAAATAGGGCCCTATTAAGCAAACCGGATTGTCTCAAATACTGTACCTTAGGTTTTTTCATTCAGCGATAAAACGTCTGGATTTCATTTTGTCATTCAATTGAATTGACGTTCTGAGACATTGAATGTAGTTAACAGCTTTTCAATCATGTCCATAACAAATATGAAGTGAATTTTCACTACCTAAGAGGATATTTTCAATTTATTCTGAATATTCTTATAATTTCTGTTAGCTGACATGTAAATAGAAATAAAACTATCAAGTTGCTAAAACCAGAACCAGGAAACAAAATAATCACTTTTTAATAAAACAGTGAAACATAGTTATTAAAAATTTTTCTCCTTCGTTGAATCATATTAATGGCATTACATTATTTCAAAAAAGAATTTAGAACAGTTTAAGTATATAAATTCTCGAATAATTATTGAGCACAGAATTCAATCCTTTAAGTAGTGAGTTACTAACCTATAAAAAAAAACTTGCGCCCCTGAATGCAGAAACACTACTAAATATTTTGAAGTTATTGTATAGCAGTAGAAGTGGATTGAAATTAAAGTACTATTTATATTAGTTGGTTTATAAATAAATAAAGGTAGTTTGATAAGAAAATTATCAAAATCATTATTCCAGATATTCTTGTTAAGAGAAATAATCACTGTTAGCTTTTGTAGTAAAGTCATAAGATTGACAAGAATTCGGACGATTCTGCACATCAGAATGAGGGTTGTTGAGATTTTAGTAGTTTTTTAATTACTGGATTCATGAGTTCAATCCGTGTCAAGTGGAGACAGGTATCTCTCTCAGACAATGGATGAATAGTTGCTCAAAATCATGGATCGATTGAAGTTGCACAATAACACTACTGGATGCCGGCTCAGGGGTCTTAAGGTTAGGCATTCACGCGCAAAAGTGAAGGTCCCGAGTTCGAATCCCGCGTGCGGGACCGCGGATGTGAACTGCTGAAGGGTCCCATACTAGGACGAAACGGAAGTTCAGTACTTCCAAGTTCTCAATGGTGGTCTAGCTTACATAGACTCACGAATTGAACTGCTAAGAAAACTCTACATATATCTAAATGAAGAACATTGCCGTTATTATTTTAGCCACTTCAGCCCGTTATCGTTTAAACTAATTTATTGAAATAGATAGGACTGTCGAGAAGATAATTTCACCAATAAGACTTGTTCTTCAAGCACCTAAATAAAAAGAATTTATAAACCAGATAAAGCAGCCAAATATGGTCACTATTTGCGTTCATATATACCAGAGTACTAAAACTGTTATTCGTAAACTAAATATTTGACCATATTTGTATTATTTCACTTTAGTTAAGTGAGGATTAAATTGATGGTCGTAAAACGGACAATGATTATTCATTATAAACATTTGTTACATTTGTAAAAGTTATCAATAATAAATTCATATCAGTGTATAGTTTATGTTCGTATGATTGATTGTATTGATTATCGTTTAACCGTCTATAGATCACTAGATGTCTATATAAAATGCAGATAATTTCTCTGGTTATTTACGTTTAAGCAACTATCAGAAAATAGTTTCCATCATGAAATGACTCTAACTGGACTGATATTCAAAACCAGAAAGTGCTAGATCGATCTATTACAGTTTATAACTCTATCAGTGCAAACATATATCAAAAGTGGCATCAAACTCAGAACCTTAAACTTGATCTACTGATTTCACTTTCTGATAGTGACTCTTCAAAGTGATCAGTTATTCTTAAAACAACTAATTTGATGAAAGTTCTATGTATTGATAGTGGTTGACCTTTTGATTGAATTTCTTGAGATTTACTTGAAACCCATGAACTTTCGATTCATTCACATCATATTACTGATAACGCTGAATGGTGATCGAACTATATTACCTGAAATTTGAAATATGGACAAGAGAATTCAGACTGAGACGTCTACATTTATCACTATCTGATTTTAGTGATTTTCTAATTATGTTTATCGTGAGATGATAAACGAAACTAGTCAAACTAATAAAAACATCAACGTGATATCAAGTAATATCTCTGAGAGAAAAATCTATTTAATGATGAAATACCCTAAGAAATTAAATTGAAACCATAGTGATTGTATAAAAGATACAAATCAATATCTAAGAAAAAATATTTTGATAATTGATTAACGTGATCAATTATTGACAAGTTCAGCATGAAACTATTTCATTGTTGTTTTTCTTCATTGATCAATAAATGTGATTATAGAAAATCAGACACTTAATCAATAAATTATAAATGTATATAAAACAATTAAGAAATATACTACTTAATTTGATACAATATTGTTTATTATTAAAATTATTTCATTTATCGGAAGGGGGTTTTGCAGAGATTTTAGTAATTTCATATAGTTAGATCATGAATCAATTGAAGCTAGACCACCATGAAAAACCCGTCCGTTTCATCCTATTGTGAGACTCCTCAGCAGTGCACATCCACGATCCCACCTCGCGATATTTGAAACCATGACCTATCAGTCTCGTGCTCGAGCACTTAACCGATAGACCACTGAGCCGGCACTCAACGGTGTTAATGTCTAGCTTCAACTAATCCACAAAGTGACTGGACGAACTGGAATGATGAATAACACAATGGATCGTAAACATAACTTTTTCATTGTGAATATAAATTATCATTGATATAAGTGATTTAACATTATGAGTTATAATTAACAGAACTTTGTTTTTGTTTTAATTTGGAAATTGCAAAGGAATTTGTATAATTTTGAATATAGCTTTATTTTAGACTTGATATCATTATGAGTATCCCTAAAAACTTGAGAAGGATTAACAGTCATTTCATTCTAGTTTGAAACATTTAAATTGTCCGCGTTTAAAATCTCCCATGGGATTAGTCTAGGAAATACAGCTATCATGAAAAGCACGGTAAGTTTGAAATCTACAGATCTGTATTTAGATTTGTGATATATTGTAACCGGCAGTCAATGCCATCGACAAGTTCTTGCTTTACTTTCAACCTATTTAACTTATTAGTCATGGGATCGGTCCATAAAATCATTGACTGTTAATCTAAGTCATGTTAGTAGATACAGACTCTTCAACATAACCGTAATCCTTGGTTTCGGTTACATAGCTCAGAAGTGTTCACGAAGCAGATGGATTCATTCTTCATATTCCTCCGGATATTGAATTCAAGTACTTTTCTTTATACATATCTTTCTACCCTGCCTTTTCAAACAGTATCCCTAAAACTTAGATTTTCTCATTATCATTTCCACTATGATAATCCCATCTACTTCACACTTCGTTTTGATGTCAAGATCTCAGCATATTGATGTAGATTTAACAAAAAGGACAAAGAAATATCTGTGTTAGAGTTTACGATGTTGATAACTGACTAACTAGTCAAGCGTTTGCTCTAAAACCTCGGAACATTCACCTTTAAGCTAAGAATTCCCAGTGAGATGATAACAGATATTTATTGTTCCTACTTAGTTAATGGTTGCTCAGATGATGTTGATTCGTGACTATAATTGTCTTCAGAACTTTGCATACACATAAAATTGCTTATAACATGTAGTTTAGCCGATAAATTACATATATGTGCAAGCAGATAACAGAGTTATTACTCTCTTTTTCAACAATAACAAACTCTTCTTATTTTGAATTGTTATACGTCATATTGTAACCTGATTAGAACTTTTATTTTTGAAGAGATAAATCGTTATAATAATTGTCCACTTAGCAGGTTTAAAATGTATCCAGGCAGCTTACATCTTTTGACATCATGAAAAGATATATTCATAATAAAATCATTAAATAGGCGAGTCATCTTCACAACACAGTTGGTGATGAGTTGATTTGATCGGAAAGTAAGTAGATTTTTACATGAATAGATAATTGGTATTATTTTAGTTGCGTATATATATTGTGCACTTTTCTAAAAATCAACCTATGATGAATATATTATAACTTTACAGTACAATCTGTTCTTTTAATTATAACCGTTTAATTTTAAATTATCCAAGGGATATTTGTACTAGTAATTAACAAAGTTCAGAGTAGACCATAGTTATCTGTTTGTCTCGATGACAATGTTTCAGTGCCCGATTGTCGATTATTACTTGCCCACAAAAGGAAAATAGTCTGGGATGAAAAAAAACACAGTATTGATATTATCTATAAATTAACTATCTTAGGAAATGCCTAATACAATAATGCTAAAGGTATGAGATTCACTTTTATACCCATTATTATATTGCAAATAAATCACTTTCCGTATAAATAAGTCATACAGCAAATAATCTATTTCAAATTAGTATAACAGTTTAGATTGATAGAATCTAAAAAAAGTTAAGGGTATAAAGCGTTCTAACTATGTTCTTTGTTTGTGCAACTTTTTAGCTGAGTATTGAAAATACATAACAGAAATCTCTCGTTAACTCAAAAATACTATGATGAACAAATACGTAAAGCATATGCACAAGTTCATGAAAACTCATAATGTGACTTATTCCCGCGATAATCACATTTTTCAGTGATTTGTAACAGTTTTATTCCATTTAATAACTCAACATTGAACAACACATCTATTAATACTAAAAGATCAATCAATATGTAGTTGAGTAGATAAATTATTTCAATATATGAAATTAAAACCCTAATCAAAGAAATTGTTGATTTCTTAGAACAATGAACTGTCATAACAAAGCTGTATGTATTATGTCAATTTATTCAAATAACTGTGTGAATTATAAATCTAGCTGATTTAACATTATCAGGACTGAAAATTAGACAAAGAGATTTGTTTACTTTTTCCTTAAATACTTATTATTATATATAGTTGAGATCATGAGTCAACTAAAGCTAGACCACCATGGAAAACCTGGAAGCACTGGATGGCCGTTTTGTTCAATTCTGGGACTCCTCAGCAGTGCGCATTCACGATCTCGCCCCGCGAGATTCGAACCCAGGACCTATTAGTGCTTCCAGGTTTTCCATGGTGGTCTAGCCTCAATTGACTCATGATTTCAACTATATAAAATTACTAAAATCTCCACAAAACCCCCTTCTCACTTATTATTATACTTGACTTTATTTTAAGTGTAGAATTTAAACACTATTACACATTTTATGCTATTTCGTCTCATCAATTGTTCGCACGAATAAAAAGTTTCTTGAAATCTTCACAATAGTAAATATCACACATTGATTTTTTCAAAATCGATATCTGTTTCAAATTTCAAACCAATAACATCATTAACCGAAACATTACCGACCCCACTTGATCAGAGGTTAGTGAAATAATATGAATTTATATCATACTGATGAAATCGTAGTTCTCCAGATGTTAATAAAGAGAACAATGTGAGTAAAATAGTATATTTATTACTATTGATACATTCAATCATATAAATAGGTTTTAATAATATATTTGCAAATCAAGCTCTTATCAGTCATCACTATATGGTAAATCAATTTTAGTCATCGTAATCTGAGCACGATGACCAATAGATCATGGTTTATGTAATTATATATCAATTAGTTTTCAATTATTCAATATTTCACTATGATGAAACGAAGGAATAGTTCCTTCCAAGGAAATAAATCTTTGGAAAAATTATCTGTTCATAACAATATAATAAATATATTCACTTATATGCATCATAACAGCACATAAACATCCGATAATCATAAATAACAATGGTCCATTCATTTGTTTTAAACGTATTGGGATTTTCGAATTTTTGTCTTCTTTTGTTACGCATAAATTTTTATGCATTTGAAGTTTAGTTGTAAAGTCAAATGCCGGTTCATTTTTATGTTTTATACTGTAGAGTCTTCCAGAATCCTGTAAGTACTTGAAAATAGGATATGGGAAAACAGATAGGAAGGAACTGTTTAAAATAATGATAGATTTGAAAAAACAAACAACAGCTAATTTATACAGGACTGCATAGTTTTAAAAATGTAATTAATATCAGTCTATGATAGAAAATACTAAATAATTAACCAGATTTTTATCAACTATTTAATTAAAAGGGGACAATCATAATTTGGAGATATATTTATGATATCCCATTAAGTAATTTGAACTTGTAAAACTTCATAACTTATTGTAGGCCACTTCTTCAAAGTAAACGAATAAAGAAATAATCCCGCGAGGCGGGATCGTGGATGTGCACTGCTGAGGAGTTCCATAATAGGATGAAACGGCCGTCCAGTGCTTCCAGGTTTTCCATGGTGGTCTAGCTTCAATTGACTCATGATCTTAACCATAAAACAACCGAACTAACTTATCACAAGTTTGAATAGAACACAGAAAAAAGAGCTGAATGTTTTTGGTACAGTCAAAACTAAAATATGTTTGAACATATCAGTATTATTTTGTTTTTAGTCAGGGTGGTTCTATATGAGATATTACTGGGTTTATTTGTGTATTTGATAGTAGGTATGAAAAACGTGAAATTGTAATGTGAAAGAGTACGGTTAAAATTTGAGTTTGTTATTCTGTTCATTGTGAGTGAAATGAAAAAAATTAAATGTGATTAATTGAATAAACATTCCGATTTGGACAAAAAGTCTACCCTTTTTTTCTATTGAGGGCAAAGGGATCTGGGATTATATGATATATCTTAAAAATTCCTATTTCCTCATTCAATTCACTTTATTCTTATTAATAAAACTATCAGTAGAAATGGCAGTTTAATTAAAATGGTCACAATACTATTAGGACTGGAAAAAGAGATCATTAAAATTAATGACCCAGATTTATTGATAAAAATACAAGACCTTAAATCTAGGAATTAAAAAAAAAACTAACGAATTTTCGTGCTAAAAAATTAAACTGACCGAAATGAAATCAATAAAGGTAACTAATGTAATCTGCTTACATTGTATGCAACAGTCACCTGTATAATGAAATAAAAAATGGTAGGATCTTTCTATCTTAGTTTTAAAATAATAAACCATACCGTTATGCAGTAAACAACTTAGTAACTATGTTTCGATTTGTATTAGATGTAATTAATGTGTAATGAATCTGATCAGATGTCTGATTTGAGTAAGAATGAATATGGTTATCAAATTTGCAAAAATATGTAAATTATAATAATGTTTAAATTAACCTCTTAACATTAATATTAAAGCAGGACTATAGCTTGCTATGTTGTGATTTCCCAAGTAGCTCACACACACATAAGCAGACGTTAGGCAACTGGACTTAACTTTCGAGAAGTGTTTAAACTCAATGTAAAATCTATTTTGTTAATAATTTAGATGGATTATGCAAATTAGGTAAATATTCAGTAAATCTTTTTCCCAATTTACAGATGTCAATGGCGGAACCCTTAAGAATCAAGAAGTGGTCACAAGCTAGGAGGAGATAGCTATCCACTACTATCAGATTCTCAGTAGTTACCAAAGTAAAGTCATTACGCGAATAGTTGTTTTTAGCCAACCATTAACAAAAATATTTCATGTTTGTTTTTACATTTTTTAAACAGTGAACTCACTTTTAAGTATACGTTCATTTCCCAAAGTGATTTTTCACTGAACGTTAAAAATCCCATTTCCATTAAAGGCATATCTTGGAAATTTCCACTGTCATAAAAATTCTCATCATCATCTTTTTCATCTTCAATTTTACAATCTAACTTAATGTAATTCCAATCAGTATTTCGATATTTTAATGATTGTAGATACTGACCATGAATATGATCTGTTAATATTATCATTGACGTATTAATCTCCTCCGGTGAAATTTTCCCATTTACCAATTTCCTTGAAAAAGAGAACCTTTTTTCAAAATATTTACATAAATTTGGATTTAAATCACAATAGATTGTTTGATTTTGGCTGTTTAAATAAGGATGATATTTTAAGTCATTATCAGTATACTGTTTGAAAATCAACACTGATGTACCAATTGCATAAGCAATAATGCATATTAAACAAAATGCATGCCAGAATAAAGTGATTGTTATTCCGCCCCATGATTTAGGCAATTTGTATGAGGCTAAAGTTAAATAAAAATGTTCAAAGTGTGGTAATACTGTTAATACTTCATTGTAAAACCTAATTAAAAATAAAAAATGGTTTATAATACTTCGATGAACCTTGTTCACCTTTTAGTTTTCCTCTGCACTTATGTTTAAAGGGAAAATGAAGTAGTTAATTGACAGCTGTGTTTAAAAAAGAAGCATTTTATACAAAATCAGCGTAAATTTAAAAATATACATCCGCTTCAGAAGTCAAAATACTTTTGAATATAGTTCTTGTAATGGGTAATAAGTACATGATGAACTGTGCTAGCTAATGTTTGTTATTCAATCGAATAACCTTTTATACTGCGACCAACAAGTTATTGAAAAGGTACAGCAGGTAAAATAAGTTATTTTTTTGATGTTTTCAGTCTGCTGCTGCGTTCAGCGATACCAATTTAGAAGGGGGTTTTGTGGAGATCTTAGTAATTTTATATAGTTGAGATCATGAGTCAATTGAAGCTAGACCACCATAGAAAACCTCAGTACAATGGAAGATGGTTGCGCAATTTCGTGGATTGGCTGAGGTTAGACATCAACACCGTTGGATGCCGGCTCAGTGATTTATCGGTTAAGTGAACTGATAGGTCCTGGGTTCATATCTCGCGAGGTGGGATCGTGGACGCGCAATGCTGAGGAGTCCCACAATAGGACGAAACGGCCGTCTAGTGCTTCCAGGTTTTCCATGGTGGTTTAGCTTCAATTGACTCATGATCTCAACTACATAAAAGATACCATTTTATATTATTAAGTTAATTTGTCTAGCCAAGACGACGAAATTAGAAGATATATCTATAGTTTTTGTACTAAGACAATTTCACTGTACTGTGATTAGTTAGGAGAAAAAAAATTTATGATAACTATATTAACACAGAATGAAGTATTTGATCATTATATCTTAAAACATAAAATGTGTACAAAAGAAACATATACAGCCTTTTCTTCTATCATGTTCTTAATCACTTGCAATTTCTTTTTTCTTCTTTCACAGCCGTTCACTCCCCCTTAATCATCTCTATAAACCTTTTATCCCTTACTAAGTTGTTGCTGTTTTGACGACCTTCTTAGCTACAGTTCATCACAATTTCAACATTTTTATCATATCGCATCGAGAAATTCCTTTCCAATTATATTGTATATATTGTTATATACTACATAATAATATATAGATATCTTTTTCAAGTATTTTAAAAGTGTATTCATACGGTAATGTATTTTATATCAAAAGCTGACTTCAGCTGGTGATCCATTAGAAATCAAGTAAGGGTGAACAGATTTTTTACTACAGTTTAAAATTCTTCAATGATAATAATCTCACATTTTAACATGGCATAAAATTCATAACCTTCATGTTTTACGTCACCCATTCCATCTTTTATGTGATAATGAGGTATAAACACTGTAAAACAGTTCCAAAATAAGATAAAAACAGTTTTCCAGCTATCCTATAATGTCAGTGCTTCACTGGTGTTTGCGTCATTTATGATATAAATATGCCACCCATGCACTTTGTTAAAATAATTCAGTTCACCAATCAACTGCTATTTTCGAAATTAAATTGTATAGCAGATCAAATTACTCTTCCGAAGAGAATTGCTATATCGACGAATATTTTGAGAGATGGTTACTGACAGCTAAAATACTGCATTTGTTTGTCAAAAAAATGATATAATTTCAAGTAATATTATGAAATCATATAAATATATTAGAAATATGCATGTGATCTATGCCTATATATTAAACTATATTCATTTATTATTAGAAACCAGGATTAATCAACAAACAGACTGAAATATTTTAAAGTTTAAATCACCAAATAATCTTAGCTGGACCACTATTGAAAACCATAAAGAACTGGATGATCATCTCATGAGGCTCCTCAGAAGTGGGGATCCATGGCCCTACATGCAAGAATCGCATCCAAGACCTTTGGTTTCATACATAAATGTTTAAGCTCTAGACCAAATATTTCAGTTTAGAATAGAGTATTTGAAAACATCTAATTAGTTATGGTATTTAGAAAGATAGTCAGAAACTAGAACACTAAAATAGGAGTACACAATCAAATTCAGTGTAATTGTTAAAGGGGAAGGCAGAGTTGATTTGGAAAATATAATGTATTTGCAGGACAAATTTTAAACAACGTAATTACCCTAATTTCCTACATACATATCGTTGGAAGTATGTCTTTGACCAGACTTTTCGAAATTCATAGTACAAACCAGGAAATTACTTATTTTTGATAATATATAACGAGTGCCAAAGATTTGGCTAAATGCTCATTCACCATGACGTCCAAAAATTTGTTCTGTCAAACCAACATGATCGATTGTCTAATCCCGCTATTATTAATTTCCTGAATACTTGACCAATCCAACTACACTGAAGATGGCAAAACGGCTTATATTGAAACATTGTCGAGTGCTGAGTGAATATACCTACAAATTTTGTGTGAATGTAAGCTTCCAAACAAACCTAAACATTTATGAAGGTTAGGTGAATAATCCACCATATTCACCTTAGCTTGCCTATCACTGGATCTAAATTTTCGTAAAAGCATAGAGAAATCGTGTGGTCTGACAATTTATCTCTGAATTTTTTCATTCTACCGATCATTCATCGTACTTGTAATCAATATGGAAAACTAAAATTTAAATCCAAGTCACTTAGATGCTTAGTTAAAAACATCCAAAATAGTATCTAAATCACAAATCAAATCACAGAGACATGAACTAAATAGAATAATCAATATATGCCTAACTATTTATCTAAAACTGTATAATATTTCGTAAAAATCTCAGTGTGAATAAATAGTATAACATTGTTAACTAACTGCTTGAAGATTGTCGAAGTGCATAGTTCTCACAGCGATTCAGTTAGAAACTGAAAATTTACTAACGAAATCTGTGATTGTCTATATGACATTAGTTCAGATTTCATGGAATCCTTAAAGTCGCTGATTAATCTTGCTGATGAATCTTAACAAGTTCAATCATTAAATAATAATATGTGTCAACTTCATTTCAGTATTTACTTCGTATGTTACGTTCACTGATTGATCACAGAGTAGTAAGCAATAATAAATTTGTCTAGTTCATTGTTGGTATTAAATTTATCAGTCAAGTTGCTCAAATCCCACATGGAGTACCAGTAACCTTATGGTTATAGGTACATCTTTCAAACAAGAGATAACTAGCACAAAGACTAAATCTCAGTCTCCATGTCGATTATCATAAGCCACTTATTATAAGTGGTGCATCTACCATATGCTTCATGAAAAAGACTTACAATATAATGCATATGGTAATAACAATATCATTCAATACTGTTTAAGTTAAATTCAACGATTTGTGAGTTGTGTCATTTTTATGTCAAAAGATAGTACATTTAAGGAGAAAAATGAGAGGTAATGGTACCAAACAATTGGATAAATATCAATAGTTAACTGTGAGCTTCAATAGGAATCATGATTTCAACATATGAGTCATGAATTAAAACTTAAATTTCTGTAAGCAGACAACCATATCATCACAAAAGAATAGATACCTAGTAATAATATTCTTAAGCACTGTAGATAACGTACTGACACTACTAAATAAATAAAATACTTACATTGTAAAAATAATCCCATTAAAACGTACACATATGAATCCCATAAACCTAAACTTGGCTCATTTGAAGGTGAAATTTTTGTATATTTCTCACTTGAGGGTCTTGTATACTCGAACACAAATAACAATGAACCAGTCTGTTTAAATATAAAATATAAGGTGATGATGAAGAAATATACATAGGTTCTAGTCATTGTAAATAGCAAAAAATATTATTCAATCAAAAATTATTATAGTTTATGACATCTATTTTACATGAATACAAGATCGAAATTAAGATGTTCATGTAATTCATATGAAACTTTATTTTGTCAACTTTTAGTTTTGATTATAAGATGACCTCAATGGTATGATTATGTCATTCCTAATTATTATTAACAACCTCCACTATTAAAATTAGGTACATCTTTTGTCTTTATTGGGTCATTTGTCTAATTCCATCTCGTTCTTTTCTCTTTAAGATTTCTACAAAGTGTTCTGTATAATTTCCTACCACAGTGTACCTTTATGTTAGACATAAACCTATCAAAAGTGAAATATTGTTTCATATCAGGTAGCATGTGTGGTAAATTGAAGCTACTCATTTACAAAATTCGGTGGTCTATATGTTCTACGACATTTGGTTTATGGAAAAGCATAATTTAAACAAATATAAATTGTGGAAAGCTGTTTCATTGCAGACTTATCCTTAGAGCATTATGTAGGGTATTTAGCTCATTTCAACTATATCTGCCGAACATGCTTTGAGGGAGAACGGTTACCCCAGAAAGTTTATAATTAAATATATGATCATGAAAGTGAAAATAGGCGAAATTCAAACGGTCAAAAAGAAGTCCTTGTTCATGCGCCTACAATTCAGAGGGGATGCAGCTAGCGAAATACTAACTCAGAGATTACGCAGATCAATCCAAAAAATTTTCAACGTCGGTGAACTACGTTTAGTGTTTTCCACGCGCTCAATGTATTACCTAAAATGACGGCCACATTTTATATTTCTCGGTTCGACTGTTCCTGTGGAGCAAGTTATATTGGTCGAAGTTCTAGGAATTTACATTTTCGTGCTCGCGAACACCTCCCAGCGTGGCTAAGCGGAGGTTTGATGAAAAAAGTGAACTACTTGATATTGGCCCATTTAGTACAAACTAGTCATAGTGTCAGTATAAACCAATCCTTTTCATTTATTTATAGGGTCAATAATATTTTGTCAAAGCTTGTCAGGCTTAAAGCCCTTCAAACGGCTGAGGCAGTAGCCATCAGGATGAAGAAACCTAAGCTATGCGTACAGAAGAAGTATCTCCAACCGCGGCTCCTTCCTTGGCCAACGACAAGGCCAACTAATCAACAGTAATCTTAGCTATTGAATGACCTAATTTGACTATGTACTTACGACCTTTCGTAGTCAAATGTAATTGTCTCTCTTATCTTTATTCGCAAATATTTGTATTATTATTATTATTATTATTATTATTATTATTATTATTATTATTATTATTATTATTATTGGTTAAACATCATTATTAACTTTAAAAATAGTTTAATACAAATGAATATATATAAATATTAAAACAATTTATACTTACTGTTAATGTATATAATAGAATTAATGACCATATAGATGAATGAAATGTATACAAAAAGTACATTTCATTTAAAAATGATGAATCTAATTGTTTTGAACAATTATTTTTGTAACATTTTATAATGAATACTGGTTTAAGTTGAGTAAATGATCTAGTTATGTAAGGTAATGGATAATTGATTTGTTTATTATTTACATATGTTAATGAACTATTTTCCATATTCATTAGAATATCAGATGAGAATTGAAAAAGACATAAACTTTGTTTGTTGGTTGAAAGCTAAATGAAAGATAAAAGATGGTTATAAAAATATTACAAGTTCAATTATAAAAATATTTACCTAAACATCTACTCTCCTATGTAGTACTTTAATGAAGAAAAAAAATAAATATACCATGCATTTTTATTTATTATAATGAACATTGATTTTGAATGCTAAGAAATAGAGAGCTCCAGATAATGTTTACACCTTAGCTTGAGTCTCTTAAGAAGCTCAGATTAATGAGGCTTAAAAGATGCTAACTCATTCGATAATTAAATTCAAACTCAGTTTCTAAAGGTACCTTATATCCTGATGAGACATGAATTTTATGTACTTGAAGTCATGGATAAACACTATCAAGTTCAGATCTATATAGAAATAAGTTTCAATTATACCTTGCTTTTCTGTCGATGGAAGTTCTATAACGAAAACCGCATTATACTTGGAAAGTAGATTAAATAAGAATAAGTACCCAGGTTTGACAGTTCTTATCAGCAGCTATTCCTCAGATTAAATATAATACCGGTTTCTAAATAACAAGTCAATAACAGTTTGATATGATAATCGTTCAAACAAAATTAAATTGATGCCGTAAATGTTGACTTTCACATTATTATTATTTTCTGTCACTACGTGCGTTTTCAAATATAGATAAAATGGTTAGAATGTATTTCAAAACCTGGCATATTTCACGTATTTTACTATCTTGTTCAGTTCATTTGGCTGAGTGAAATTTTTAGTGTAACTGTTATGATTTCAGCTGAGCTGTAGTACCCCTAGAAATCATGAAGGTTAAAGACAATTAACACAGTTCTTGTAACATTTTGACGATTATCTATGTGGGATATGTACATGATTGAAGAAAGTAAATGTAACTATTCTTCACAAGTAAGCTTAATTAAAAATCAAGTGTCATGGAAAAATTTACTGGATACTTGAAAGGGTTATATGGAATAAGGAATGAAAGAAATCCACTTAATTCTACAACATTTGGTGTTCTTTCAATATAAAAGTCTGTCAGATGAATTAATCACATGAATTATGAATATCTCAAGTATTCTATCTCAGTAGTTTCACAGATATGATGTTTGGTAACTGAAGTCTGTTAACAAATAACATTTTTAATAAAATGGTTTATTACTATATTAGAGGATACTTTGGGGAGCATCATTCTAAACCTGTTATCTGAAACACAGTGTTTTCACTTGAACGTAATATAATACTTCACAGTATGAAAACATTTTGATTATTTATATTTTTGTCAGTTTAAATGACAACATTCAATACCTACAGATGATAATAAACACCATGGATCTAGTCAGACTGCAATTTCAGTATGTTCATTTTCATAAAACGAAACAGTTTAGCGTTGTGTTATCTTTGGCAAAAATGGCACTGAAACCTCTATGAAATAGTTCACGAAGTTGTTCTATTCAACGGATTCTTTGTGTTCTTCCTAAAACAAGCAATGGATATATGTTTCATTTCATGATGAGACTCTTCAACTGTGCACGTCCATGACCCCACTGGGGTTCAAACGTCGAATTTTCAAGTCGAATAATACCGCAAACTGATTGAAGTTAGACATGTGAACCACCAGATGGTATTCATCACGGGACCAGAAGGTTCTGAGTTGGACCTCGGTAAGGTTATAGATATCCATTGTTGAGAAATTCAATAGCAGAACAAAACAGACGTTCAGTGCTTCCTGATTTAAATGGTTATCTGATTAATGTAAATCGATGATATAAACTAAGAAAAATATTTTATAATAACAACAGAATCTTTATGGGACTTTACGCTATTCAATTAATAGTGCTCAACGTGGTACTAACTTTTGATGTTGGTTTGTTCTCTGAGCTGGATGGTTTGGTCGTGGAGCTTTCATGAAAGCTCATACGAGCGTAGTGGTACTAACTTTATCGACTAGTGAAACTTGTAATGATGATCCAAATAATTATATTCACTACATAAACCATCTAATTATGCAAATCATTTTATATTCAACTTTATGATAATGTTTTCAAATATCGGTCAAGCATTAACCATCGATATACGATGGTGCTATCTATCACCCATAAGTTAAATTCTTTAAGATATTCATTTATGGGGATATCCAAATAACGATTAGAGTAGTCAATTTTAGTCTTCGCTTAAAATATAGGAGTTTAAAAACCTTAAAAGAAATTTAGTTTTCCTCACAGCATAACTGGTAATCCATTTAAAAATCAAGAAGTTCCTTCTATTAAAAAAACATTAGATATATTTTGAAAATATTCTTACCATACTGATACAATATTCTGCATCCGTAGGTGAAGTATTCTGTCTAACTGGTATACTCTGAATTGAATATTGAACTTGTAGTGGATTATCAACACTTAATAAGTCGACTAACAGTCCTTTCATAGTAGATTCGTTTATCTTTGTCTTCTCTATGAATTCTGATAACTTCAAGCAATTAAAAGCAATATTTGTATTGGGAAACCAAATTATATATTATTACAATGATACGAATTACTACAATAAATAAAGACTTATGAAATATTATGAGTTCAGACTAAAGGTGAATCGATCAGTTTCTACCGTTAATGTACAAATGATTAGCATCGTTTTCAATAAACAATATTGAAGCTAACTAATTACATCCAATTGGTAAGTTTTAGAAAGACGACTGCGTGATATACAGGTCCGATTACTGACTTTTTTCATACTTCTATGACACTTTCGTTCAAAACCAGAGTTGCTTTTCTTATCATGTTAAGTGATGTCAATGAGATTTTTCTTTGTATTTTTGAATAATGGCTACTAACACAGACTGCCCATATTAGAAATATATCTAGGAACGTTTTAATTATTCTTATTGGAGCCTAATAAAAGTCAATTCATAATAATCTGTCTGGCAAAAGCCGTAATTTTTTTTACTAACTAATGTCTTCATAACATTAAGGTATGACTTTAAAATTATTGAAAGTAATAAGACAATAAATGAAGAGTTCTACGAATCTCAGTTTCAAACTCTTAATCATGCGCGCTTTTCTGAAACCAAGAAGAGATATTGCACTCTAAATTACGTTTCTTCTGTACCACAACTTATCAAATAATGAAAATAACTGCACTTTTTCAAACACCATGAATCCAGAAACATAGTTTGCCATTGAATTTTATTAAGAAGTTAGGAATATCATTCCCAAGAGATATACACATCCCGCTTAAATTTTTATGAAGTTTTCTTACTAATCCTTTCATGGATCGAACATCAGGAAATAAATCTGACAATGGCTTGCAACCGTTAATACACTGAATGACTTTGATTTAATTATATATCTGTTTCATTATACACTGCTTTGAGAAGTAAATTGGTCTTCCCCACCTAAGTTCTTGTCCACTACAGTATTAGTTCTCCAAGCTTCAGCTACTTAAAATAGGGCTGTCTAGACGTTTGCATTGATAATTCTGACTTTGATGTTGGTTGACAGATGTTTTGAGTTAACAATGTTCTTCAGATCCGGAAATGTCGCCCTTGTTTTGTTTATCCGTACCTTCATGTCTGCTTCATATAGTCTCCGTTTATATATGATGCCGTTCAGGCACGTGAAAGTTTCCACTTCATTCAATGCATCCCCATCAAGTGTGGTTGGGTTGGCGTTCTCTGTGTTGTTTGAGGATGTAACTTCCTCCCTTGTGCATATTGAGTTCTGTTGTTGAAAAAGATGCACCTACACTAGTTGTCTTCACTTTCATTCGTTGCAGTGTATGGAATTGAAGAGATAGGTCATTTGCAAAGTTCACATAGTCTAGTTGCATTCAAACTGTTCATTGTATTCTGTGCTTCCCCTCACATGTTGAGGTCTTCACAATCAAACCAACCACTAGAAGAAAGAGAAACGGGGAAATTTGGTAGTGTTGTATGACCCCAGTCCCTACTCGGGATACACTAGTGAGCTGTCCACCATACACAGCTTTGCAATGTGGTCCGTCATATGAAATCCGTATGTTGATGACAATGTTCTCAGCTACTGACACCATAGTGTCGGAGAACGCTCCATAAGGTTCCCTATCCACACTGTCAAACTCCCTCTCATAGTCAAGGAAGCTCTACTAGAATTCCAGTGATTGACATATATTCGTTGTTCTTGACTGGTCTCTCTCTTCTTTACCATATTACTTTGCTGACTTCCTCATTGTATAGTTGTCCCATATTTCCTTCCACTGCAGCTTGTTCCATTGTCGTTGCTAGATCTTACATGTAGTTCTGCTTGTCGTCTCTAATGCTCCACTTCACTTGATCGTTTACCTACGTGTATTCGGTCTGCGTCTTCACTTTTTCTGTTCTCCATCCATTGTTGCCAATGGCTGTCTTCTTCAGCTTCCTTTCTTCAATCTTTCCCACGGTTTCCATACACATCCATTCTTAATGATGATACTTCTTGAGACCCATCACCTCCCGACACGTTGAATTTAGTGCCGCTTTCATCCCTCTCCACTTGTTCTCCATGGTAGTTTCTTCTTCTTTCAGTAGATCTTACAAAACTCGGAGCGTGTTGTTGAGAGCGATCTTGAATTCATGAAGTTTGTCAGTGTCTCGAAGGAAACCTATGTCAAACGTTTGTGATGCTGTTTGTCCTGTTGTCCAATGTTTCTTCAGCTTCAGTTTGGTCTTGGCCACAACCAATTGGTGATGAACTGAAGCTATGTCAGCTCCTTTCTTGATTCTCACGTCTTTCATTAGTCTTCTGGAATTTTTATTGATACAAATATCATGGATCTGGCTCTGTGTAGGGTGATCCGGTGTGACCGATGTAGTTTTGTGTACATATTTGTGGGGGGATATAATACCACCAATGATCTTGTTAAATTCACATAAATTTGCAAATCTCTCAATATTCTCGTTCCTTTCTCCCATTCAGTTCATATCGTCTCACGATATCTTCATACACGGCGTTGTTAATTTCGTTTTTGACCATATTAGCACAGCAAGATGAAAATATCGAAATGAATACTAATGTACGAAGTGAAATAGAATGAGTCGTAGTAAAGGTGATTAGGTATAGGGAATACGATTCAAGAGTAAACAGTTATTTTTCGGAGTTCAGCGTATAAAATAATGTTGAAACTCAGAATCTGAAGGGAAACAAACAGTAAATAAACCTATGTCATATCACCATACATCTACCACAATTAATTACAATAATCACACAACTTAAATTTTGGAATCCTTAGGGTCAGTTATTCGTATACCCTTAATTATGCTGTACGAAGACAGCACCTGATAAACTTCATAAAAATCCATAGCTTATGTATTATCTTATGGACACTGTTCAATCCATAACGAATAACTCTGTAACCCTAATAATAGACTTTTAAAGGCAACAAACCGTCATTAGTCCACATATTTTGAAATATAGGTGGTTCTTTGATAAGCTCCATTAGTAATGAGCTAAAATATATCAGCTCTATTTTTGAACTCAGTGACAAAACACGACAAACTACAGCGTATTGTGGTTCTTACTGTATACTTGTTGAAAAACATCACTTGATCAAATTAAAGACCTACGATTTTAAAATCATATTTACAACTAATTTTCTAAGCTTGAGCCTCACTAAGTTGTAATTTTTAATAGAATACTTACACATGTTTAAATAAAATTGATTAAAAAAATGGTTCTGTAAATTAAAATGTTCCTAAGTAATTTTAACCTGTTTTTAGTTTCTAGGACGTAAGGTGATATAAATTACAAATTTGATACAAAAACAAAGATTCAAAGAAATCGTTTACACTTTCTGAATGATGACTAATCTTTCGTGAATCATCATGGGTTGATTTGTCTTAACTTCGTAATGTGTCGCATAGAAGAACTCATCCATATGGATTTAATTCATTCTCATCTGTGAATCTGTATCTGAGTATGAATAGTTTTACAACCAAACCCACTTAGTTTCTACACTGATGCGGTGCAGTACCGTTTTATAGTTTGCAAAGTGATATGTGTGAACAGTCTCCTCGTGCTGATGTTTACATCTTCGACTGTACATGAATTCTTTGCCTTCGTTCCTATGGATTGTTGTTTTTAGTTGATCTTTGATTTAAAACTCTCACAACAAAACTATTGAAGATGAGGTTCTAGCATACAAGATGGCATCAGATAATAATAATGACAATAATGATAGTATTAATATTGATAACAGTAATGACATCAAGATTTTGAGAACATGTTATTCTAGCACAGATTATTTAACCACATTGCAAAGACTTTTATAAACATTTGAAAATGAAAACACTTTTTTCTGATATTAAGCAGAAAACAGTGAAATGAAGTTTTTTGAATAATCACATTGTGTATTGTGTTTATTTGCTAGATTAGAGTCTTGTGTTTTCCTAAGTTTCTATACTTTCTGAAATTTCAAGATTTCAAATTATTTCATATCACTTCATAATGAGGTTTATCCAAATCCAAGTAAGTTGCATACCTTTGTTCTGCAGTTAATTTTCGGCAACAACATTCAAATTTTGTTCTTCGACTTAACTTTACGGGAAACAGTAACAGAAGGAGTTTTGTGGAGATTTCAATATTTTCATAGTTGAAATCATGAGTCAATCGAAGCTAGACCACCATGGAAAACCTGGAAGCACTGGACAGCTGTTTCGTCCTACTATGGGACTCTTCAGTAGTGCGCATCCACAAAATTTAATTATTATCTAATGTGAATACTAATTAATGCATAGAAATGAATGGTTCTCAATAATCAAAAACTTCCAATGTTTCCAAGTATAATATTGACAAGTGTAAGTTTGAATCTTGAAACTAGAAAATTACTCGAAACAACAGACAATTTCATATTTTTTTAAAAATTATAATAGTTGATTACTTACTTCAGGAATGAATACTGTTTGTGAATTTGTAAGCACGATACCTTTACAAAAGAAAATGTGCATATTTCATTATAATTTTTTTTTACTTACATGTCAATAATAGAGTACAATATAATACTGAGTAACTTATTACCAATGGATTATGTTTTGTAGATAATACCATTTCCATGACGATGGCAAATTTTAAAAATAACAAGATAGAATATTATCGATTATGAATTCTAGTGATTTGATAAAAATTCTTCTAATGACATCATAATATTGTTTATCATCTGTTTTAATCTAATAATGTTGTAAATCCTGAATGCTTACAAGTTCCTAGGACAATATGATTTTGTATACTCGGCTTTATAGTAACATTAGCGAACGGATAAGTTTGTATGTGTATAACACAGAGAGAAACGTCGAGAGAGAGACAAATATTTACATATTAGATTTTAAATATAAACCTGACTGGTTTGATGTCTAATTTAAATTAAGCCATACACATTTTATGTACAAGTAGACATAAATTAATTCATAAACATAAATGATCAATAATAATGAAATTGGTTCGATATTGCAATTGTTCGTATTTATTTGCTCTGTTTATATGTTGATACATTTACGTTAACGACCAAAATCAATCCATAAATAAATCTACACTATTATTATTATTATTATTATTATTATTATTATTATTATTATTATTATTATTATAGTAACACTAATTTAAAATCATTAATAGTTGATTAACAGGTCAAATTGTCCAGAAAATTAATTTAATTTGATGTTGAAAAACCCATCTACTTATAAAGTGAGATAAGTACAGAAATGTAATAAGTAAAACTTTTTTGGAAATAATCAAAGAATTCAAGTCGATTTCTAGGCATATTTGTGATAATACATGAAGCTATGTTACACGTGGAGGACGAAATTTTGATAATCAATTTTCACAGTTGAAATCACGAATCTATCTAAGCTAGACCACTATTGAAAACTGTTATGACTCGTAAGTTGAACGTTTTATTCGGATCCTAGCTATTCGGATAACCCCAGGCTAGCACTACTCAGCGACTTCGAAGACCAGAGAAAAGACACGAGTATCAGAGAAGCACTTTACTACAAGGTTCAATTATGTACAGAAAAACAGGGGTTTTATAGTAGCTAAAAGACCTTGAGATCCCATAGTAACAGTATGTTAACAGCCAATCAGGACCTTGTTATTTTAGTAGCATTTTAGTAGCATAGCTTCTAACTAATCGCTGATTGGTTGGTCTCTTTATGAGCCTCTCTGGAGGCTCTGATAGAGTTTATTGTAAGCCGATCTAACAAAAACACAGAAGCATCTGACGGCCATTTTATCTTTGTGTGTTACTCTTCATTTGTGAACATATACGATTCCGAACAATGAACTGAAACCCAGGTTCTTCGGTCTCGCGCGCAAACACTTATAGCAACTCAGATACAATTGAGTTTGTTTGCATCTAATTCAGTTAAGCCCTTTTGTTAACTTATTTAATGGACAGTCATTCATACAATAACAACCCATCTATACCATTGTACTTTTATTATATACGCTTGAACATTGCTTACTGCCTACGCATATATTCATTCCGCTAGCATTATTATTAATCGCTTATTTGATCCGATGATTCATGCTTTTCCGCTTATATATATATGTACATCTTAATCCTGTTTACTGCTCTTGCTATGCTTGCTCTCTGCTCTGCTCTGCTCTGTATTACGCTACACCGTACTGTATATGCTTACTCATTCATCCGGCTCTATGGCACTGCTTTTTCATGCTTGTTTGACGTACCTGTAATATTGGATAACTGTGTGTGGTTCAGTAATAAACACGATCAACACTTCGTATTCGTCTTCTGATTTATACATCGTTAGGACGTTGTCGAGTAACGGTTATCAAGACGAACAATATACGAAGCTTAGGGATAGTACCGAATATCGACCACCACACACTTGAACTCTAGACCACTGAGCAAGCATACAGCAATATTAATGCTAACTTCAAAAGTCCCCCTACTAAAATCAATAACGTGTACACTAGCTACCATCCCAAAAATGTCACTCCTGAAGTTCTAGTGAGAAGTTGTGATTATTGGAATCCGATCCGTGTCGGGCCCGAGACTGTTATCCCCCACAGGTAATGAATGAAAGGTTGCGCAAAGTCATAGATTGGTTGAAGTTAGATATTAACACCGTTGGATCCCAGGTCAGTGGTCTAAAGGTGAAACATTAGCGCGCGAGACCGAAAGTCCTGAGTTTTACTTCCTCGTTCGGGATTGTGGTTGTGCGCAGTCGAAGTCTCATACTAGGGTGGAACGGCCGTCTAGTGCTTCCAGGTTTTCAACGGTAGTCTAGCTTGGATAAATTCATGATTTCAACCGGGTAAATACTACAATTTCAACAAGTTACCATAACAAGATCAAATTCTTTCAAAAGCTTTGTTTCACAAATTATTTTGAGATACTATAGAGTTCGTAATAATGTGAAACAACAGTCGGAAACTATTATTCTCAATAGGGTAACTAGAACGTTTTACCTGAAGTATAAACAATGTATCAAGAGGCGATTCCTGTACTGTTACACAGTAATTGTAATCATTTACAACTTAAGGAAAGGGAACGGAACAGAAAGCATTGAAAAACAGTAGCAAACGATTCTGTTATAGGTCTTCTCTTATACATACGTCAGATCAGTTTATGACCTACTGATTCGG